TCTGAGTTTGTCCAAGGGACCTGAGGGGTGTGCAAGGCAAAAGAACGTGGCTCTGCTTGTGCACTTGTGGATGAAAAGCCCAAAAGCTTTTATGTTGTATCCCTGGACCTTTCTGAAGGATTAGGACAGCTAACTGGATTTTATTCCAGCTAGGGAAAGCACCAGCCTGAATAGGGAGAGGTCAGAGATTGGAGAAGTCTCAAGGGACACAGCAGCTATCTGTGCACAGGGAAGGAGCTGTAGGAAAGCCAGGAAAATCCAAGTTAACAGTACAAAACCTCCTTGGTGTAAGCAGCTGCAAGAAATATTCAGATTAACCAGGAGGAAAAACTTTCCAAGACAAGAAAAGCAAGACATGAAAAAAAAAAAAATCTCCTGGGGGCTTGTGGAGGCTCCCTCCATCTTTGGAGGTCTTAAAGCAGAGATTAGGGAGAGAGCTGCCAAGAATGATCCTGCCTGGGGGCAGCCAGAGAGCAGATGATGTGTCTGTCAGCTCTCTGCCTCCAAAAGCGAGGCTTGCACTTCTCCTGCTCTTCTCCTGGATGAGCACGGCATGTTTGGGACCCTCCTTGGTGGTCTCCTAGCAGGGCTCCTAAAAATCCCCCCGGAAAGAGCTGAAATCCTAGAAAATGGGTGGGTTTTGGCTAAGGCTTGCTTTAGAGAGGGAGGGGAAGATGCTCAGGGGTTTTCTCTCCCCTTCTGTCCCCGCTCTGCAGCAGCGACTATTTTCTGGTCTAATCTCCTGGCAGCTCCGCGTGTCTGAGGGATGAGGTCATGCTCACTCACCCACAGCCTGCCCTGCTCCTGCTCCCATCCCTCCAGCCTGGGGAGCAGGGTGGGATTGCACTCCCTGCAGAGGCTCCGGGTCTGTGCACGGTGGGATTTGGGATGTCACCCTCACCAAGCATCACCACAGACCTTCGCCTTGCTCTGGGCATGGATGTGTTGCACCAGGGGTGGGGGCAAGCATCAGTGCCCCCGCCCATCTTACCTGTGCCTGGGATGCCAGTCCATCTCTCCCAGTGCTCCTCCTTCTTCCAGTGGCTTTTAAAACCACAGACTAACCCAATCAGCTGGAAAACGTTTTGGGGTTTTTTTTTTTTCCCCCCCCCCTTCTTCTTTCTTTTAAATTTTTTTCCTCTTTGGACCACATCTTGCCTGCAATCAGCCCCTGGGGAGGAGGAGGCCGGTCATTGCGCAACCTGAGTGCAGGGACAGCTGTTCCAGAGCCTTTTGGATTAACAAACAGGAGGTTTAAATGTCTGGGAAGAAGAAATGTGGTGACCTATGCCTGGAAACAGAGCCCTGGCTTCTTGCTTGGGTAGATCCCCAGCTCCTGGCTCGTGATATGAACAGAAAAGCCAGTTTAGGTAATTGGTGGAGATTGCCATGACTTTATTAGCACTGATGCCCTCCCCTACAGGAGGTTTGTATGGCTGAGCAAAACAACCAGTGCCCATAAAGACACAAAAATAGGCCCCATTAAGTGTGTTTGGGTTGTTTTTTTGGTTTGTTCTTTGTTTTGGTTTGGTTTTTTGCCTTCTAATAAATTCTTCCAGCCTTTTGTGAAGGTTTTTCCAGCCCTCAAATTCAAGATTAATTGAATTTAGGGGCCAATAGCTGCATCTACTGCTGGTGGCGGGGGATCATTCTGTGTGGAGATTTAGGGCACAGTGCCTAGGCTCCAGCTCTGAGTGGTACCTGGTGGGATGGGCAGGGCTTGGACACTGCATCGCTCCAGGATGGGCAGAAATTGGTACTGCCAGATCAAAATCAGGCTTTGGGAACACAAGCTGGAGTGTCCTAGAGGAAAAGAAGTCTGATTTGGGGTTTTAAAAGCAGCAGCTGTTGTCAGCTTTCTTCTCTGGAAGCTGGAAAGAAAAACTGCTCCTCCCCAGGCCTAGAGGTCACCTAACAAATGGGAAAGTCCCCAAAAACATGTCCCTGGGAAATCTCAAGGCTGCAGAGAGGAGTGCCTGTTGAATCAGAGAGAATTACAAAGTGTGTTATCCATGGAGGAAACGGGGGCTTCAGATAAAATAGCACTGGAGGAGGGGAAAACAGGAAAAGGCTCCATTTGGACTCCAAAACAGAAAGGAAAAGGTTAAGCCTAAAGTCAAGGAGAAGGGTGGTACAGAGTTAAAGGCAAAGCCAGGAGACAAAGAGGAGAACAGAGGGGCCAAAGCAAAGGGGAAGGACAAGGAGAAGCTGCCTTGCTGCTTCACTCTCACCATCCTCTCTTTATGATGGGAACTGGGAAGAAGAAGGTTGGAATGAACAAATTTTTCTTATTTAAATGATGGTGTATTGATAGAGGTAAAAGAAAAATCCATGTGCAGCAGTTAATCATTTAGTATTTCCGGCAGGTAAGACCAACAGGTAGGGCTCATGTCACTGCCAGGGTGACAAATGAACATCTCAGCACCCGGGAGCCCAAGAAACCCCTTTGGGGGTTGTCTTTTCACCATGCCCAGCATGTTATAGGTACCCAAAACTACTTATTTATTACCTTTAGAAGGTAAAAAATGGGGTAACTTGTGTGTCAGTCCATTGCCATTGTCATCAGCCAGATTTATGCTGCTGAAGCCAATGGTTTGCTAACACCAGGGAGACACTAAAGATCCAGAGGGACTGGATGAGTTCATGGATCTTGTGGAGGAAGAAATAGTTTCTGCCTCTAAAAAAAAAAAAAAAATTAAATGATGCTTTGCAGAGCTGTTCTTCACAAGTAAGGCCTGCCCTTTATTATGTGTTTTGTCAAAAATCCAGTTAGTCCCAATAAGGGCTTGTTCCAGTTTTAATGCCCTAACAGGTATGTGTCTGCTGAAATCACCTGAAATGCTGGGAGCACAAATTCTTTTTCTGTCTTTCCTACAAAGAACCTCTTAAGAGATCGCTTCTTATGTTTAATTATAGATTGCACAAAGCAACGGAAGCATGCAAAGCCTTAAACTGGGAAGTAAAATCAGGTTTTTTCCAACTTGAAATTCTCTAGTTCAAGTCAGCATATTTATCTCTCTGGATGCATCTTGTGGTTTTACCTACAGGGGGTTTTGGGTTGGATTTTGATCACTGAGGCCTCAGCCTCCCAAAACCCAACCGAATCACCCAGCTAGAAGGCAAAGACTCTCCACCCTCCTCTGCAGTGATGCTCTGACAGAATTCCTTGTGGATGACATGACCGGAGAGCGATGAAGCACCGCTTCTCTTGGCACTTCACCAGAAATGGCCTCAGCAGGACTGTCTCCAAGAGGTTCCCCACTCCCACATCTGGATCCTCCTTCTGGCACCCAGCAACCCCACCATCCATTCACATCTGCAGTGGAGGTAAGCAGGGTATTCCAAAGGTGGTTTTTCCCAAATGATGGTCCTCTCCTACCACTCCTGGCATCACCGTGCTGGTGGGTTGGGAGAAAATCTCCAATTGAAGTCCTACCAAGGAAATCCAAAGCAATAATCCTAAGGATAGAGCTGATTTCCCATCAGCTTAGCACGTTGTTTTCCCTGCTCGCCTTTCCCATTGTGCTCTGGCTTCTGTGGCAGCTTGGACAGCAAGGTCTTCAAGGCAGGGATTACCTCTTGACACAGGTTTTGGGTTGCTCAGCCCCTGGGGCTCCAGGTGAGTATAATCCACGCACAAACGGTGTTGCAGCACAGTCCCTTCCCTGGGCTTGGCCTTGGAGTCCTATCCAGAAGGAAAAAATAGCTGGACACAGCAAATGGAAACAGCAAAAGAAGGTGTGTTCCTCTGTGTTGATCAATGGTCCATCCCTGGAAGTGTCCAAGACCAGGTTGGATGGGGCTTGGAGCAACCTGGGCTAGTGGAAGGTGTTCCTGCCCATGGCAGGGGGTTGAAATGAAATGATCTTGAAGGTCCCTTCCAACCCAACCCATTCCATGACTCCGTGATGTGGGAAGCCCCTTTACCGTGGCGCTGGATTTGTTGAAATTCCATAGATTTTTTTAGGGGAGTACTTAATTTATTTGCCCTTTGTGAGGGTGGTGGTGGCAAGGAAGGTGCCTGAGGAAGCACAGCGTGTACTCAGCGTGCTCCAGAGCTTTGGTGATGCCCTTTGGAAAACCCAAGTGGTGTGAAGGGCATGGCTCTCATATCAGTGCTTTCTCCCATCTGTTTCCTCCTTAAAACAGAGGGGGTAGAGAGAAAAAAGAATAATGGCATCATGGAATGGTTTGGGTTGGAAGGGACCTTAAAACTCATCTCATTCCAGCCCCTGCCATGGGCAGGGACACCTTCCACTATCCCAGGTTGCTCCAAGCCCCATCCAACCTGGCCTTGGACACTTCCAGGGATGGGACATCTGCAAATTCACTGTTATGGATGTTTCCACATCTGGAAAACATCCCAGATGTTTCCAAACAGGATGTTTACCTCCATCTCACGCGGCGGCAGCGCTCTAAGCGCTGGGAGACGATTTGGCTCTCCCTGTGGAGCATCCCTGCGTGGGGTCCCGCTCCCGCGCGGGGCCGGGAGGTGAGATTTGGGGAGAGGGCTGGGGGCACAGCGAGGTGGGGGGGC